GATTCCAGGCACAAACTAAACCCCAAGCCACAATTGACATTATATTAGTGAATTGTTTCTGCAATGGCCCAAAGCTCTCATGGTGTAGTTGGTTATCACGTTCGCCTCACACGCGAAAGGTCTCCAGTTCGATCCTGGATGAGAGCATTTTGTCATCGCACCCTGCTGCCGTGCATGAGTAATCGGTGCCCCCGCAAGCCATTGTGGTACAAAGGGAAACCCTTGCGCGTGTATGGAATTGCAGTGCTGCAGTGGCACATGCCTCCCAACCCTGGGGCCGGGTAAATGCCACAACCGCTGTTTGGATTAATGCTACATGTCCTGGGGTCGCCCGCTTCTGGAGCCGTCCCGGATCATGGAATTAAACTTGAAAGCATCAATAATTGTGACTGAGGTTCAGAGGTGGACACTGCGCGCTATGCAAAGCACACAGTCGTGCGCGAAGGCCGCGGGTATAAAACACCGTGCAGAGGGGCTGCAAGTGCAACCACATTCCCGTGCCCTCCCCCCCCCAGCACCCCCATGGTTGATAGTTTTTGGGGAGTGAGAGAAGAGCAAGCCATCTGCCATGAAACACCACGCGCAGTGACCTCCCTGAGCACAGCTGGCAGCAGTGGCAATGCTGCTGCCGGCGGGGCAAACACCTGCCAATGGCCTTATGCAGCATTGTCAGCCGTGTGTGTAGTCACGGGTAAGATGCTTAATGACGGTCTTTCCGTGCCCAAGGTGCGGAAAGTGGGGGAGTCACCCGACCTGGAACCGAGCGAAACGCTGCACACGCGAAGCCCGTAACGAGCATTTCAAACATTTTATTACCTCGTATAATCTTAAATGTGCATCGAGAGTGGTTTAAACGCTTCGGTTGCACGCCTGCTGGCCTAGCAGTTCAGCGAGCCGTGCCAACTGCGCAGCGTTCGCCACAACACAGGCTTGCACGCCCCAAGCCGTGCACAAAATGAGATCAAGATGCGTTTTCAGCGCGCTCGTGGTCGCAGGGACCGCCCTTATGCTCGTGACGGTGCTCGCTGCCCCCACTGCCGCCGCGGCCAGCCACGCGGTTGATGGACCGAAGGGCGCAGACGACTGGGAGATCCCCAACATGCGCGCGGCGCTGGACGACGCGTGGAGCGCCGACGACGCGGCCCCCATCCATGCCGCCTCGGTCGGCGGCGCCGACGCCGACGAGCTCGACGTCGAGGCCGCGTCGGCCGACGGCGCGCGGCCCCGCCAGACCGACGCCGAGCTGTGCGGCCTCCCGAACGTGGCCGCTGCGGGCTGCCCAGCGCTGCTCACGCCTGGCGCCGGCTGGTGGACGGGCGGCGCGGAGCGCCGCAACGCGTTCCTGATGTCGGTGCTGATGCGCGACAACTACCCCATCGTGCACAACCTCGGCGCCGACAACGACGACACCCCTCAGAAGAAGGCGCTCTGGCAGTGCCTGATGCGCAGCAAGTGGCTGGCGCTGGGCGCTGAGAAGGTCGAGTTTTACGAGAGCCTGCTCAACACCATCGTTTTCATCAAGGTGGGCGATTGCTGTTTAGGCGGGAGGCCGGGAGGGCAGGAAGGGCGCGACGGACGGAGGGGGGGAGGGGAGGGGGGCGCGAGTGCTTGTGCACAGGCATACGCGTGCACGTGGGCGTGGACGCGTGCGTGGAGCTGGCAGTCTCGTCGAGTTCCATTGCCTGCTCGGATCTTGGTCGCGGCAACAGCTGGCTCGCTGCTGTGTTGAAAGCCCACACCATCGCCCAAGCTCACACCATCGCCCTCCTCGGGGTGTGCACATGGATTACCTAAAACCTGCCCTCACGCCTCCACACAAACCCATCCCGTGCGCTCCGCACCCTCAAACTCGGCCCCCTCCTGCCCCTACCAAACCGTGAAACCGCCCCTCTCGCAGGTCGGCAACAGCGTCTTCGCCAACCTGCGCGGCACCTGGACCGACGCCCACCGCAAGTCCAACATGGAGTGGCGCCTCGGCAGCAGCAAGCGGCTGTGGGGCCAGGAGGTCCGCTACCACAAGGGCTGGGGCAAGACCGCCGAGGATGCGTACTCCGCCATCCGCACCGCCGTCACCGACAGCTTTGGCATCAGGGACGGCAACTGCAACCTGTACCTCTCCGGCCACTCGCGCGGCGCCGGCGCGGCGCTGCTCGTCGCCGCGTTCGCCGACGGGCGCGACGACGCCGTCAAGGCGCCGTGCCGCACGGCGGGCGTGTGGACCTTCGGGTCGGTCAAGCCGTACAACGGGGCGCTGAACAAGGTGTACAACTCCAAGCTGGGCAGCAAGACCTTCAACTGGTGGAACCAGATCGATGTGGTGGGTGCAGGGG